GGGTGGGTGGGGGTTCATATTGTTTTCAAACTGTTTATTTTTTATTCATTATACTCTTTTTCAGTGATTTTTGGTCAACCATATCATGGAAACAGCTGCACCGATCAACAAGACATTTGGCAGGAATGTAGATGTGTTTGACTACACTGGAAGAGGGAGCTCCGTTTAAAAAGGGGGGTKTCTGGTAGTTGTTTTTGTTGTTTAGGTCTCATAAACTACTATCGATCGGACCCACCAATGGGCCCTTGTAAARAAGTACAGTTTATGTTGACCATAACTGATTTATTCCAGCAATAAAATCCTAAAACATCCAAGCAGGGTGAATACTTCTGATGGGCACTGTAAACCTGTTTGCTTCCTGTGTACCCAGCACCAGGAGGACCTGTGCTGTGAACTGACGCTATGTAGAGAAACTGAATTGAAATGGGATTGAACAGGAAAGGCAATTGTGTTTTCTCATATCGGCGCGTGTCTCTGGGTGAGAAGAGGAGGGTGGGAGGCTTACTTATTGTGCCAGCTTGCCTCACTGGGGGGTGTGTGATCTGTCCCGGCTGCCCACCTTCAGCTCCCATTAAATTCAATCATGCTAGGCTGCTCCAAGTTTAACTATTCATTCTCTTTTAAACCTCCTTCCCTTTTACACATACAATAATAATTCCTTCTCTGGCATCGGCAGAAGAGAGAGGAACGGTGGGGTTTTCAAACGGAGGAACGCCTCAGATGAACAGATGAGCGTTTAATGTTGGTATTTTTATGCATATTCTTGAAAAGCTGAGAGTTCTGTGTGAAGCACGGGTTTGTTTGAGAGTAACATTTGTTGAAATTGTGACAAAATCAGTCAGATTAAGTGACTGGCAGAGACTCTTAGATGAATAATGCAGGCTACAAGATGAAAGACAGCTTTGTCTTTTGTAGTCTGTCAGGCAGGAAACTGGGGAGAACCACGGCTGGCTTTAAGACTGCATGATGCATCATTCTAACTGCCTGATAGTTTGCCTGGGAGGCTAAAAATGATATTGATTTTTTTCACCTCCTCATCATTGCAATTTTCATTCTGCAATCCCTTTGCTGTGGGAGACTTATACCTGGCATTGCAATAAAGCTTTATTTTTCACTTTCTATAAGAAGCACGAGGCCCGACATTTTATATCTGTATTAAACCAGTGAGATGAAATCCTGTTAGCCTGCTTGCTGCTGCGGGTATCATATAGGATTTGGCATCTCCTTGAAATATGTCACCATCAGACTGACAGATCCCAGATCCCAGTGAATTACATATGAAGTGCTTTTATTGTCGAGCGTGAACATTATTCAGCGCTTTGTCTCTGACTCGGGCTGTGATTAATAGCTGTCACTTCATGAATTCAGCTTGCATGACAGAGCATCTTGTGACCTTTCTTAGGGAAATGGTCTGGAGACAATGCAAAATGAAGGTGCCAGGGAGCAATACATCAGAARTACAAAAGCACAAACAGAAAATTAATTAGAAAGCGCTCAAAGAGTGAATAAATCTGCCAAGGCTCCTCAGTCTCTCCGATTTGTTATGTTAATACAACAAAATATTTAGACATTTTAATCTCTTTTCAGATTCAAATCTGCCTCCGATTGCACATTCACAAAGAAATTACAGTCATGGTTATGTTTTTTTCAAGTCTGCACAGTGATTAAATGGAAAATAAAACCCACGCCTGCAAGAATTCTCGAAATAACTTGTTTTATTTTAGGTCAAGTTTTGCCTCTGTCAGTCCCTGACTACTCTGATATATGCACAGTGTCCTTTGATTTTGACCTCTCTGGGTCACAATAGCATTAAACCTATCCAGCAGCATCAATATAGTAACTTTAAAGATCATATAAAAGTTACCTTAAGGTGACTGGAAGACATTGGAAAGAAAGTCACATAATCCACAAATACGTGATTTCATTTTTAAACATTGGCAGAAAAGTTGTTTTTAACATTTTCTGTCATGAAAAGCGGGAACTCGTGATTGTCTGTGTCTGTTAGCAAAACATCTCATGAACCAGTGGACAGATTATCGTGAAACCGTCTAAGATTAGATGAAAATCTAAAACTGAATGACATTTGGAGTCACCCTGATTTAAGGTAAYCACAAAAAAATATCCATAACTTTTTTTAGTTTTACAAATACTGAYGTACAGTCGTGGTTTTTGCAGATTCATGTCCAACACATTCTTGAGTCATTAACACATTTCTTGACATGTGAAGAAACTCATTCCATTAAGCAATGCTGCTTTTCCACCATATTTCTGCATTCATTCTTCTTTGCTTGCCATGGTTAAGTTTAGGTATAAAGGGCTTAACAGGTTAAAGTAAAAATATGATCTCACTATTTTTGTTTCTTGTTTTGAGCAGGGGAATGTGAATTACCCAGCAGTGTTTCACAATCAGTGTGCGGCAGTAAGAGCTCACTGTGGAGTCAGTTAGGATTTCTGACAAGCAGTTCAAGCCTACTGCTGCCCAAAATGGAGTTAATTAAAGAACCCAAACTTAAACAACTGTAGAAGTTAAGCAAACTATATAACGTGTACGTATATTACCATATTGCAACATGGACCTGCATTATTTACAACATACATTGTTTTGGCGGCATCTCAGTGTCCTCTATTAACCATCTGCATATCGTCCTTCACTGAAACCATGAAATGTCTCTGTGGTCTTTCTTTGACAGCCTTTTGTTGTTAGTAAAGTGTAGGTATGCAAAAGTGACAAGGTGAACATTTCCACAAAGCTGCATTTGCTTAACCCACTATGACTCTACCTTTTGGGTACTTTTATATCTGCAGATTTCATGCCAACAGATTTGAGGGCAACTCATTGTGGACTGAAGTGGTAACCATATCAAACAAAAAGCAAAACACACTCAAAAACAAAAAGTCTTCTTCGTCTATCACCTCAGTTTTCACAGTGTTGGGAACATTTTTAGATTTTTGAGTTAACCTTTCTACCTATTAAGGGTAAAATCAAGCCCAAACCTCTCAGACAAGAGACAAAACTAAAAAATATACATATTTTTTTTCATGGCACAGATTAGACAAACTCAACAGGACAAGCAGTACAGACATTTTCTTTGTTCTTTAAGCTCAAAACAAAACAATGTACTTGAATGACCTCAAAACTAATAAGATCCAAAGGTTTCTGCAGTAACGTTTTTTTATTCTAACTTGGTGCTGAGTTCTTTCATGTCTCCTTTGGTTATATGTAGCCCTGCTTCTATTACTCACCTTCCATTGTCTCAGCGTGATGAGTGCAGACCAAAAGAATCAAATTGATCTCTGATAAAACACTGCAAGTGTTCATCTCCAGAGGGCTCAGGTACTGATTGTGTTTGCGTTTTTCCAGATGGTCGCTAAACGGAACACTCATTGATCTGGGGAGCGACTACCGGCGTCACATGTCTGGGGGCAGCCTGATCATTAGGAACCTGGACAAGGACCAAGACTCTGGGATGTACCAGTGCACGGCTGTCAATACGTGGGGTACTATCCTCAGCCGCAGAGCCAGCATTCAATTTGCCTGTAAGTGATGCTACGTTTGCTAATATTTTCCCGTCATGGCTCTGACACAGCTGTGCCATTTTGGCATCTTTTTGTATCTGTTACATGTCAGCTTGATGTGTGTAATATGCTTGCGGCCCACAACGTGCTATTTATTTATTTTTTATTTATTTACTCCTCCAATTTCTAATTTAGATTGCCTGGGAATAGATTTTCACAAGGGGACATGGTAATCGAGTGAAATGTCAGATGCAGCAAACACAGGAGTAGCCTTCGACTGCCTCTGAACCCCATTGATTCTCATTAGCAGTTCAAACTCTGACAGCCTCCGTGCTTTGTCAGAACACTCATATTTTGCCAAGTCCTACTCCAGGTCTTGTTGTTCAAACTTTAAGGCAGACAAATAATGTGCAAAAAGTGTTTGAGTCTCTGTGCAGTAATCACCAGATACTCCTTCATGTRTAATGTATGCGGCTGATTGTGAACAGATCAGACGGTGACAGGCTGACTGCTGCTCTGCCAGCTCARTGCTTCGAAGACAACAAGGAGTGCTGGGATGTGGTGTAGTGGGACAGGGTCCTACCTTCCTGATAAGCTGTGGTGGCACCGCTCTTTTCTTGATCAAGCCTGCTGACTATTGATCCTGTCCCAAGGATAGGGAGCCTTTCGCTKCCTCTCATGAGATGGACTGCCATTATCCCCATRGCTCAGTAATGAATCTCACTTGTGGAGACCGGGTATGGAGCAGAGCTGCTTGACATTTATTGTCTTGCCTAAATGCACGGTGAGGGAGGCCTAAAAGATCAGCTGGGCTGATACTCTGTTTTTCCGTGTAATGAGGCGACTGCCCTGAGATAGAAATGTCGTTCCTTCTCCGMTGCGTTTGGTTAGCCCTCGATATTCAGCTGCGACCGCAATAAGCACGGCCTCCTAAAGCTCACGTTTGCTGCATAAACAACCTAAGAGAGAAATAGTGATAAAAATGTCAGCTCTCATCCTGCCTGGGTCACCAAATCCTTAAACTCTGGGCATATAAATGGAGAGGCAAACCTTATTTATTGAATTTTTATTGTATCTTTTGTACATTTTTGTTTTTGAGGRGTGCATTAGCCTATATGTAAATGCATTTCAACAACTTAACATCATTATTTCCTAATTTGACAACATTTGCCTGAAGTCACATTCTGATCAAGCATAGCATCAAAACCATTGACAGACAAATCAAACAACTTTATCTAGGTCATTACAACAGCGCTTGAAAAACTGATAAAATATTAAGTAAGTTACACRGAAACATTTCCTGTTTTAGAAGCAGAATGAAGTGAGTGTGTGATTTTATGCAACTTCACAAAAGCAGAATGGATTTTTGAAGGCTGGGCTGTTTTTGGTGATGTTTCTTGTTTGCGTTGGTAATCAGATCAAGTGATGTAAAGCTCAATCCAGAAAAAAAAAAAATGAGAGTGACTGTTGTGTTTACTTCTCTAGTCTACACAAGCTGAATTTTTGCTGAATAAAAAGTATATATTTTTAAGAACATTTTCCAAAGTGGATATATTTTTTATTTTGTTTGTGGTGGATTAATGTAGACAGCAGATATGGAGCTTTACAGGAATGATGACATTGTAGCTTGTTTTGTGCACACCCGCTGTCACATGGTTCACAAGAATCCAAATGAGCATCTGCAGTTTAACAGATTGTCTCACTACTTTCACCGTGAAATATTGATTGATTATATCCTGAAATAGTTATTAAATTTAACCATTACAAAAAAAAAAAAAAAAAAAAACACTACGCTTGTCTTGGGAAGACCTTTAGCCAAACGAAAAACAGACAGTAAACTTTTTGTTGATGTCTGTGGATGGAAAAAAAAAGTAGAAAAGTAGAAAATAATATCTAGAGCAGTGGTTCCCAAGCTTTTCAGGTTTTGACCCATAAAATGCCAGCAGCAGAGACCTGTGCCTCCAGCTATTGTCGGTTGATCTACATTGTTTTCACGTCAAATAAACAAGCGCAGAGTAATGGTGCGTTCACACCGAACGCAATTTCAGCGTCAGGAGCAGCAGGTTTACATACAAAGTCTATGGTGGAGGCGCTTCAAGCAACGTCGGGAAGTTCTGCGGCGCCTCGCGATTAGAGCAGCGCGATTTGGACGATTTGAACGATCTGAGCGTTCGACGCGCTGAGGCGCAAATCGCTGAAGTTAGAAAATCTGAACTTTTGCAGCTCGACGCGCAGCGTCAACCAATCAGAGAGACTCCACTGTGTGACGTAGTGACATATTTCCCGACGGGACAGTTTACTGAATGATGTCCACTAACCTGAAACAGATGGAGAGGAGCTCTTTAGCTGAAATCGTGCCTGCAGTCGTGCCCTGATCCGCAGCAATGCGTGGCAGCGACTCATCAGACTGGAAAAATAGTCCTGAAAGCGAGCTGTGAGCCTCTWCTCTGAATTATCTGGTGAATTAATTATGAATTAATTATCTGATGAACGTGACATGTTCTTGCTCTGTAAATAAAGCAAAGTCACTTCCTCGTCCGACATTAAACAGCCCCACAGAGGAGGGAGGGGCGGGGAGGCTCTGCCGTGCAGCACAGCTGTCCTGTGTCTGACCTCAAAGTGCACGAGCTTCAAACTTCAGCGTTGGCTGCGATTTTGAAGCTGAAATCGCGTTCGGTGTGAACGCAGCATAACATTATTTATTACACTATTTTTGTCCATTTTAAGTACACTAATGTTATTCTTTTGTAACAACAAAGGCAAAAAATGTTTTTAGTTGTGATTTTTTAGTGTAATTCTGAAAATATTTTCAGGACCCCACCTTGACGTTTCAGGACCCCACTGTGTGTCCCGACCCCAACTTTGGGAATGACTAATCTAGAGTACTGCAGACAGGGACCAAGATAGAAACACTTGTGATCTGGTGACAAGGTCATGGAGCAAATGTGCGTAAATGTTTTTACTTATGATCTAAGTAAAAACTCTCTGAAAAAGAGGTCTTGAAACAGCCAAAGGCAGAATGATGGTCTGAACCATATTTCGGGTCCCTCTATTCCAATGTGGATGTTATTTTGACAAATTTTACATTCCTTAATATACATTTGTTGACTTATTGGAAGCTGTTATCTAATAGCAGTGGCCTCTATTTAAAGGCCAAACTAGAAAAACAAGACAACAAGTTTAGGTTTGTTGATTTAGAACGGTCCAGCTCCCAATCTGTGCTGGACAAACGTGTCCTTTTCAGAAAGATAACATCTCATAGTTAGCCCTGGCTTAAAGCAGCAGTAGTATGTGACCTTCAAATTATGTGTGCTGACTCATTTTGATGGCTCACTGACATTCATTACACATATTCGCAGGCACAAAACTCCCCTTTAGTTGCAAGGGACTGAGAAACAACACTACACATTTTTATCCATCCTTCCGTCCATCCATCCATCCATCCATCCATCCATCCATCCATCCATCCATCCATCCATCTATCCATCCATCCATCAATCCATGAACATCCATCCATCCATCCATTAATCCATGAACATCCATCCATCCATCCATCCATGAACATCCATCCATCCATCCATTAATCCATGAACATCCATCTATCCATCCATCCATCCATCCATGAACATCCATCCATCCATCCATCCCTCCATCAATCCATGAACATCCATCCATCCATCCATCAATCCATGAACATCCATCCATCCATCCATCCATGAACATCCATCCATCCATCCATTAATCCATGAACATCCATCTATCCATCCATCCATCCATCCATGAACATCCATCCATCCATCCATCCATCCCTCCATCAATCCATGAACATCCATCCATCCATCCATCCATTAAACCATGAACATCCATCCATCCACCCATCCATCCATCCATCCATCAATCCATGAACATCCATCCATCCATCCATCCATGAACATCCATCCATCCATCCATTAATCCATGAACATCCATCTATCCATCCATCCATCCATCAATCCATGAACATCCATCCATCCATCCATCCATTAAACCATGAACATCCATCCATCCACCCATCCATCCATCCATCCATCAATCCATGAACATCCATCCATCCATCCATTAATCCATGAACATCCATCCATCCATCCATCCCTCCATCAATCCATGAACATCCATCCATCCATCCATCCATTAAACCATGAACATCCATCCATCCACCCATCCATCCATCCATCCATCAATCCATGAACATCCATCCATCCATCCATTAATCCATGAACA